ATAGAGCACTTTAAGTATATTATGGAAGTGCACTTTTTTTCACATGGGTAATAGTGCTGGTTTTTTTTTTTCAGCTTAAGACGACACGTGAATATAGAGCCAGATTTTTGTTTATGTGAAATATAGCTAGCAGATAACACAACGTCTCAGGTTACTTATGTAACCATGGTTCCCTGAGTAGGGAACGAGACACTGCGTCCTCTAGGGGTCGCTATGGGGAACGCTCGTCGTGACCCGTGTCTGAAGCATACATTGAATAAACACCAACTTGTTGGCCGCTGACAGCCAGGACGTCACTACCGGTGCGACTATAGTATAAATAGGCGCCGGGAGCACACATCATTCACTTCTTCGTCCGAAGCTTGCGTCCGCAGCATGGCAAGAAACCTAGAGGATGCAGTGTCTCGTTCCCTACTCAGGGAACCATGGTTACATAAGTAACCTGAGATGCCAAAGGCCTAGGCTACATACCCCAAAATACTTACCTGTTAGGGCCAGACTCCTGGGCCTGGGGTAGAGCTCAAGGCTTGGAATCAGAAATAGATTCTGGGGGAATACGACCAAGAGCCTAGAATCATATAAGTCTTGGCCTGTCACACAGGTGCTACCACACGTTCTCTTTGTATGTGCTGAAGGAACTGTTTCAACAGACCCCTAGTAGCAACACCCTGTTAAAGTAGGTATCCAGAGGATACATAGGAGGAGTGGTGCCCAAGGCGGAACCGGGGTTTTAAACCACTCAGAAAGAGTACGAAGTTGTTGCGCGTAGCTCTTACCGTACAGGATTTTAGAAAACTGGGCAAAGCATAACGTGCACACTTACCACTTATAGGATTTTAGAAAACTGGGCAAAGCATAACGTGCACACTTACCACTTATGTGGATTTTAGAAAGTGGGCAAAGTGTAACGTGCACACTTACCAGCTATGTTGATTTTAGAAAGTGGGCAAAGCATAACGTGCACACACTTGAAATACCGTTCTAGGGGTTCTCGTGGCACCCTGAAAGAGCAGCCCATAGATAGAAATAGCGCATCCCCAAAAAACGCTATGTCTACGGCTATAATGCTGGAGTGGCTAGCAGTAAATCTGTAGCTGAGGGAGCAAACATCCAGCTCTCAATCGAGAGGGAGCTCAACCTACAGCATGTTCCAATGGTGGAACAGCTAGCAGTTATTTAGCTGAGGGAGCAACACACCCAGTTCTCAATTCGAGAAGGGGGCTCGACCTGCAGCATGTTCCAAAGCTGGAACAGCTAGCAATAATTTACTTAGCTGTGGGAGCAACACACCTAGTTCTCAGTCGAGAAGGGGGTTCAACCTACAGCATGTTCCAATGCTGGAACAGCTAGCAATAGTTTACCTTGGCTGAGGGAGCACAAAACCAGCTCTCAACGAGAGGGGGCTCGACCTGCAGCATGATTGTAAAATCAGAAGGGTAAGCATACTGCAAGCTAGCCAAACACTCAGCACATCAGGGAGGTAGAGGAAGGGCCTAATTCACCTGATGCTGCTGGTTCCAGGTGCTCTGGAGAAACAGAGAACTCAATCTTCTCATGTGAGAGGAGAACTCCGAATTCAGAGGAATAACGTAGCTCATTCCAGGTAACACTTTGATAAAGGGGAGCACTGCTCAATACTACCACGAGGACAGCCCATGGAGCGAGGAATCCAACTCCTCAGAGAGGATTAACGCTCGAAAGAAAACACCATACTCACAATAACCCTCAAAGGTGAGGGGAGCGATGCTTCCAGAGTGTGTCGACAGAGACACACTAGTTGAGTGGAGCCCAAGGTACCGGGGTCTAACCAACTCAGAGAAAGGGAACGAGATCAAAAATGCATAACCCTTACCATACAGGATTTTAGAAAAGTGGGCAAAGCATAACGTGCACACTTACCAGCTATGTGGATTTTAGAAAGTGTGCAAAGCATAACGTGCACACTTACTACTTATGTGGATTTGTAGAAAAGTGTGCAAAGCTTAATGTGTGCACTTACCATAGTATTTGGATTTTTAGAGTTTTCCGAGCATCTGTACAGAAGTACTGGGCCAAACGGGAGAGGCAAGCTCAAATACAACCCTCAAAGGTGAGGGGAGCACCGCCCGAGACAGCATTTACACAGGAAGGTTCTCGTAATGCCACCTATACCTCCCGCTCGATGCCAGTCAATGAAGACGAAGAAGAGAATGATGTGTGCTCCCGGCGCCTATTTATACTATAGTCGCACGGGTAGTGACGTCATGGCTGTCGCCGGCCAACGAGTTGGTGTTTTTTCAATGTATGCTTCAGACACGGGTCACGACGAGGCGTTCCCCATAGCGAACCCTAGAGGACGCAGTTCGAAGTTCCCATGAAAGGGAACTAAAGTTATATTCCTATATTCTCTTTTGAGTAGCCAAAAAATCCAAAGAAAACATCTTTAAAACAGGAAGAAAAGTCACTTACAAAATGAGATTAGATGAACATGAATAAATCTGACCAAAATGTGTCTGTGTGGGTAGAAAACAAGTCAATGAATCTTCCTCAGAAGAGACAAAAATAGCAACTCACTTCAATGTCTGACTTGTATAATAATTACATCCATAAGCTTTTTGTGAAATTTGGAGTAACTCATTAATCTGTTTTTGACCTCTTCATATTTAAGGAGAGAATATAGTTTCCAAAGTCAGACATCGCTTGTTATGGTTTTCAATGGTGTAGAATTTAGTAGAGACACTATGACATGATCCTACCAATATCAGACACTACTAAATTGTTCCTAACAATAATTTTGATCAAACAATGAAATGTCTGTTGACTGCTGTTATGTCCCCATCAATGCCAAAATCAAACCTACACCCTTTGATCATCAGCATGGATTTTAGCCGATAATTCCAGCAATCGACTATCGGTGCTGACTAATAATCATAACTGATCAATCAGTCGACCTCTATTATTCATTGCTGTTGAAACAGAAATCCAGCAATACATCCAAGATATTTCATCCTCAAAGAACTTTAAGATGATAAACCTGTGCCAGCGTTTTCATTTTATTTTGATAAATTTTAAGTCTATATTCTGTATTTCATTTATAATTAATATTTTGCTTTCATTATCATTTTATTTAAATAGGTACTTTTACACTTGCCATGTATTTATATGTTTTGATATCTTGGCAATAAAAAAAAAGAAAACTATTTTTTGGGTGACGCTCAATATCGCTGAAGCTCATTTAAAAACAAGACTTTAAATCAAGATATGGCAGGGCACACATGTCTCTAGACGATATCAAGTGGAAGCCCCTCTTCTCGAGATGGCACATATTTTAATAAAAATAAACACATACATGCAAAGGTTACACACTGAAATATTAGACTAGATTAAGTACAAGAAAATGTACAAGCGATAAGTTGTATATTTCTGAATTTCAAAATACACATTTATGATGTAAGCCCATCACTGAAAATAATACATTGATTTTCCTTGGTTTTCAGTGGTGTATAAACATATAAACTATTTTCTTAATGTCCTTTGGATAAAAAACCTTGACACCCCATAACTACTACATTGTTTAATAAATGTGTGACAATCTCTGTCTTGTGTGGGGTTTTCCTCCTGAGTGATTGTTCTCTGGTAGTTTCTTTGAGGACGCCTGTTGTTGACTTCCTTTTGGGCCTTTTAAAAGAAGCGAGATGAATGACCACGAGAGAGCTGATTTTGTTTGGTTTCCTTTAAGCTTGTTTCTTTTGTACATCCAACACTGCTACACACATTACACTTCCATGCATTAATTTAACTTTATTTACGTCACTGATTCCTGACCGTTACATTCTATGCTGTTTTTTGTTGTTGTTATTGTTTGATTTTGAGAACACATTTTGTATTCTATTTCTGGCTCACTCGTGTCCCTGTTTTTGTTATGTCTCTTTTGAGGCACGGGGCGTAACAAATGGGGACTTGTCGAAAGCAGGATCCAATCAGCGCGAGGGTGATTTGGAAATATTTGATCATTTTTGTCGTTTCATCGTATTTTGTGGATTCTTTTGAACATGTTTGGAAATTAATGTTAGGTGACGACGTTTTGAGGGAAATCCAGTTTGAATAAATTGAATAATTTGACGTCACAATAAGACATCCTGCAGTGAAAGACTCTCAAGACGTGTTTTTGTTTTTTTGCAGAATTACATAGTGTCACCTCGAACATCATTAAAACAATTACGATATTATAGATGATAAATATTGCGCACTCCTAGCTCAACATACACCCTTCCAAGTCAAATGTTTAAAATCACAAGCTGACACACAAGCATCAGTTACAACGCAGCTATCAGCACTTAGGTCCTGCTCGAGATTCTGCTGCTGCTTGATCCATTACACGTGTGTGTTAGTGCCCCAAGGCATGACATGTAACAATGCAAATGAGCGCAAAAAAAATAAAATGCAATTCGTTCCAGTTTAAAATAAAATATTGTAGAGAATTTTCACACCTGCCATTGCTAACTCTGACTATATAAGCCCTGTGTTTCACTCTCTGTGATGCTGTGTGTCTCTGTCTTCAGTCTCTGTTGATTGTGTGACTGTGACGTCTCTGCAGCGGCTCTTATTCACCATCAGCTGATCCTGAGAGAACTGGACTGACGTCTAAAAACTGAGAGTCCTACAATAAACACACAGACAGTCACATATGAGTATGAGACATTACTGCTGTCACATCACATCAGCAGATCCAGTTCAGAAAAAACACGGTATATTCATATTACAGCCAGAGATATGAATGAACAACTGATCATAGATTAATAACAGTGAATGATCAACAACTCTCTCTTGATCATTTACACCCTGCGACACTGGAAGAGATAAAAATATTCATATATTCATAGATCATCACAGAATTAAACACAGTTTAAAGTACAGAGATTAAAGTGGAGCTGAATTATTATTATCTTATATTCAATTACACACATATGAGGCATGTTGCTAAACTTTGGCCACTTTAAAATATTTAAATAATAATATACTCACAATAGAATATTATCTCCAGTTTATAATGTGGATCATCTTTCAAATCAGAGAGTAACTTCACTCCTGATTTTCCTAGATTATTCACAGACAGATCCAGTTGTCTCAGGTGTGAGGGGTTTGATCTCAGAGCTGAAGCCAGAGCAGCACAACCTTCATCTGTGACGCCACAATCATACAAAACACAGTATATTCATATTACAGCCAGAGATATGAATGAACAACTGATCATAGATTAATAACAGTGAATGATCAACAACTCTCTCTTCATCATTTACACACAGAGACTCTGGAAGAGATGAAAATATTCATAAATTTCATAGATCATCACAGAATTAAACAGTTTAAAGAACAGAGACTAAAGTGGAGCTGAATTATTATGATCTTATATTCAATTACACACATATGAGGCATGTTGCTAAACTTTGGCCACTTTAAAATATTTAAATAATAATATACTCACAATAGAATATTATCTCCAGTTTATAATGTGGATCATCTTTCAAATCAGAGAGTAACTTCACTCCTGATTTTCCTAGATTATTCACAGACAGATCCAGTTGTCTCAGGTGTGAGGGGTTTGATCTCAGAGCTGAAGCCAGAGCAGCACAACCTTCATCTGTGACGCCACAATCATACAACCTGTAGAGAACAATGACAGAATGTGAATTGTAGTTGAAGTGTCTGTAGTTTGTTATTGACTCTGGTCTCAGAGCAGGAGAGATGAGATATAATGACAAGCATTGCCACAAACTGCGGCTGATAGAATGAGATTTATGCATGTTGATGCTCAATGGTGCTGTTTGAAACTGTCATGTGCTTCAGGTAGGGATGCAACGATTAACCGATTTCACTATTAACCGTGCTTTAAATCGTCACGGTTATTAAATCGTAAAGGTTCTGCAACACCGTGTTTCTGTTGCACGGAACGGAACTGTTGCAACTTGTGCAAAATGAAAAAGTTTGGTGCGCCAGTTTAAAGTTTCCGACTACCGAGCTTATCAGAGACACGGAGGCTATTACGCACACACACTGGATTAACTATGGCAGAGGCACCTAGCAGCGAAACTGTGTTTCCTCCAAAGAAGCGCCTGAAGTCAGCAGTTTGGGATTATTTTGGGTACACAAAGCATGCCGACATTTGGTTCAAGGCTATTCTCAAAGCTGGAAACGGAAACGTGAACTTCAAAAGAAGCAGGCAGAATTGAACATCCCTGAGCATTCACTGATACATGATGTGGTCACCAGATGGGGATCCACATTTGAAATGATTTCCAGGTTCTTGGAGCAGCAGCAGGCCATCTGCAGGGTGCTAGCAGCAGACAGAAGCACCTGGCATCTTATGCCTAAAGACACTGACATCACTGTCCTGGAGGAACTACGACAACTTCTTTGTCCTCTCCATGATTTCACTGATGTCCTGGCCTCAGAGAAACAAGTCACATTTTCCTCCCTGAAGTCAGTCTTGGAGCACATTAACAATGAGATTCTTCAAGATCAAGAGGAAGACTGTGCTCTCACTAAACAAATGAAATGTGTAATAAGAGAAGACCTGTTAATGCAGCTGAGATATACAGAGGAAATGAAGAATGTTCTGAACATATCCAGTTTTGTGGATCCCAGGTTCAAAGGAAGCTTTGCTGAGAATCTGGATGACACAGTCAAGGCATGCAGTGATGAAGCAATGGCACTTGCATCACATCCGAACACAGAAGATCCTCCAGCAGCAACCACACAGAGCACCTCATCTACCACCACCAAAAGGAATGAGAAGAGCCTGTCTGGGCTGTTACAGCAAATCACCAGCGCAAGGAAGAACAGGTCACAAGCTTCAGGAGGACATGCAATGCCATCAATCCAAGAAAAACTTGACTCAGAGGTAAAACTATACTTGTCCCTTCCTGCAATCAGAGCTGATTCTGATCCACTGGCTTGGTGGAAGGCACATGTGGAAGAAATGCCAATGCTTTCAAAAGTGGCCAGAAAGTACCTCTGTATCCCTGCAACAAGTGTGCCCTCGGACAGGGTGTTTAGTGCAAGTGGCCATATCCTGTCTCCTCATCGGTCAAGACTGAGCACTGAGAATGTGAACATGCTTACATATCTGCACTATAATATGAACTGAAAGGACTGGAAATAAGTGTGCAATTTGTAAAAAGGCCCTGATGTAGGTGGGTCCTGCAGCCTTTGACTCCTTGTTTTGTTCCAAAAGGATATGCATAGCTAGCTCATATTCAATTCCAGAGATGTGGACCTTGTTTCTTTTTATTTAGTTTCACTGTACTGTATTATCAGTGGTGGACAGTAACGGAGTAGCTTTACTTCGTTACTGTACTTAAGTACATTTTTCAAGTATCTGTACTTTACTGGAGTCGTTTTATTTTGAGTAACTTTTACTTTTACTTCACTACATTCCAAAGCATAAGATCGTCCTTTTAATTCACTACATTTCATAAAACATATCGTTACTCCTTATAATATATCACGTGCTCCGAGACGCAGAAGCGGTGTCTGATTCATGAACAAACTGATTCTTTTCAATTAACCTTTTAAATCGGTTCGCTAATCGCACCAAATGATTCATTCACAAATTAGAATGAACCGATTGCAGTTGTTCTTGAGTCAATAACTCACTGATTCAAATGATCCATTTAGTGCGAGTCTCCATGAACTGAATTCACAAGTAAGAACCGGGAGATCTTGTGAGCCCGTGCGTCTGATGCTGCTAAAAGTAAGTTACTAATGTCAAATTTTAGGTTTAATTATTGTAACTGAAAATCATATTCAGGTCAAAACTGTTAGTTGTTTGTGAACTAAATCTGCTGTAAAGGGTGATCTATTTAAGCCCAATGAAATGATTGAATGCAGACACATCAACATCTGTGTCTCTATTGTAGGTTAAAAAAAAAACCAGAAACGTTAAAATAACACAGACTGAATAAAATAATTAATGCGCGTTCATATTCCCCAGTGCTGTAACGTTAACAGTTTTATTAAAATGCTACGCATTTAGCCCTATGTGATGTCTGTTTTTATATTGTTTATCAACAGTATAAATTGTTATATTGTTTGGATTAACTAGCGGAGTAGACAGATATGAATGTTTATTCATAACCATACTGAAAATAAGTAAATATTGTTAGCTGATGCTAACTGTCTAGCTAACAAGCTTGCTGGTGCCAAGTTGAGGTAATTTTTAGATATAAAGTCCAAATATTTTTATTCAACCACCAATATAGATTACATCTGAGGGAAAGAAAGGATGTGATGTTCAGAACATGGTAACTACAGTAATTATCAAAGTGGGAAGTGATGGCCTCTGGGGGCATTTGGCCAGGTGTGTTTCTACACCACAGACAAGGTTTGAGAAGAAAAAAAATAATTATGAAAATATAATTATATTTTCCTTAAAATGTTCTTCCTAACTTCAGGCCTTATTCTCATGTCATATACGTATAACTGTGATGTTCTGCAAAACAACAAGCTTTAAAACACTTTTTTTCTTTCTGGTGAACATCAGATTAACAGTCAAATCTGTTTTCTCTCAGGTACATCGCAGTGTAA